GTGTCACACATGCCACACAAACGTGTCACACATACATAGCACACACATAACATGTGTGCCACACACCACACATGCCATAGACACGAACACATGTAGCACACACACCATACACAGCATCAGACATGCCACACAAACATGTCACACTCACACAGTACCACACACAAGTAACAGATGTACACATATAACACACACAGCACCACACGTGCCACACAAACGTGTCACACATACATAGTAGCACACACATAACATGTGTGCCACACACCACACATGCCACAGACACAAACACATGCACCATATACACCATATACAGCATCAGACATGCCACACAAACATCTCACACTTACACAGTACCACACACAAGTAACAGATGTACACATATAACACACACAGCACCACACGTGCCACACAAACGTGTCACTGGAGACACACGCCAGGGACCCTGCACAGGGTGTTACTTACACAGTACGCATGTAGCACACATACCCCACACAGCATCACACACCACACACAATGTGCATGCCACACAAGACATACGTCATGCACGCACACGCACAGCTGCGTGCAGAGCTCGATGAATGTCCTGAGTTGATTCAGTCTGCCTGCAGCCATCAGGAGAGCCACTTGGAGCACAGGGTAGGAAGGGCAGGTGCGACGGCAGGGCTGCCACTTCCGGGGCCACCCCAGCTCTCCCGGCCGCACCTCCGTCACTCCCAAAGTCCTCGGGGCCACCCTGTGTCCCGAGACCTCCCTCCAGCCCCACTGCGCTGAGGAGGCTTCACCCTGGGCTCATTTCTGCATGCTAAACCAGACTTCAGGCAGGGCTGTCCACCACGGCACCCCTGGACCGAGAGGGCACAGGGCCTCTCAGAAACAGCCACAGGCCTGGCTCCACCGCGGGCCGAGCTGCGAGGCCCCCTGCTCTGCCTGGGGGGTGGGGTGGTGCAGGAGCCCCTCCTCCCCTCCTCACAAGGGACCCCCACAGTGTCCACTGCACCGGGGAGGCAGCAGCATGGCCTCAAATACCAGGACCGCTGTCCACTGCTGCTCCTCTGAGACCAGATGTGGGCTCCTCCCAACACTGTCCGCTGCCCCGTGGAGCTTCGAGGCCTGTGACAGTGACCCCCTGATGGCAGAGGCCAGTGCCGCCCCCACGGGTGGGATGGTCTGCAGAGAGTCCTCCCTTCATGCCTGCCTTTGCTTTTCCATCTCCCCAGAGCGCCCAGATTCAGGGCGACTCCCGCACAGAAACGGACCACGGGGCTTGCCTTGGGTCACCTCAGGCTGTGACTCCAGACCTGGGAGCCCAGGGCAGCAGGGAGGGGGAGGTGGCAGAGTCAGTCCTGTCCCAGAGCCTCGGAGCCCACTGCACTCCTGTCAGGTATCCAGGTCCACAAAGCAGGTGCGCTTTTCCTTCTGGCTCGACAGCTTTGTGTCAGTGCTGGTGCGACCGTGGCAGGGACGGCAGAGGGAAACTGGGTACGCGGCCGAGCAGGGGCGGTCAGCACAGAGCAAGAGGGAGCAGAAAGTCATGAAGCTGGAGAGGGCTGGGACAGCGCCGAGATCCTGTGGAAGGAAGACCCTGCCCAGAATCCACGGACAGCCCCGGCGGCCTTCCCTGGGTGACGGTGGGAGAGCAGCCCAGCAGCTCCAGCTCGATGGCTTCCTCTTCAGGAGCAGAATGGGTAACCGGAATCTTGGACACGAATGTCGCAGGACACACACGTTTTAAAACACTGTTCCATTCTGGCTTCACTGGGTCTCTCACTCTCATTTCTGTTAAGGCACCGGCTGTGCACACGCCCGCCATGGGCACTGCTTTCCAGGGGTTAACAAGAAGACACGGTGATGACATTGCCCCAGGTCAGATGAGTTTGTCTACACTGCAAATGCTCACTTATTAGAGTAAGGCTGCTCTAGGGGCAATGCTCACAAGGGGTCCTGGCTCAAACAATCCTAAACTCTCCAGGTTGCTCTAAATGACACTGCCTGGGGAAAGTAGTTTCCGAAGCCCTGTCCCTGTCGCAGGAGGCACTGTGCTCGGGCACAGGCTCACACGGGCTCACAGAGAGGCTCTCAGCTGACCTCCCACGCCATCTGGGATGTATCGGGCAAGCACGGTGTCCCATGGGCTGTGCAAGTGCTGTGAGCACAGGTGGGAGCCGTGAGGAGGCCACAGACTTCTGTGGGAAGACACCTGTGTGCAGGTGCTGGCCCCGGGGCTGTTGGAGTCCTGCGCTCCAGCGATGAGTGGGGGGGAGTGTAGGAGACTGCAGAGACAGCGCAGAGCCAGATTGTGCAAGGGCCTGAGGACCAAGCCAGGGTCGGAGAGCTCTGCCCAAGGCCCTGGAAGCCACTTGCTGCTTTCATCTGGGCACTGCCGGATCTGCCTTCTGGAAAGTCCCCTGGAGGCAACGGGCTGGGCCATCCCCACACAGGGCCTTCGTCCGGGTGGAGCGGACACTCGCCAGGCGGAGCCCAAACCAGGACTCTCAGTATCCAAGTTCTTGACCCAACTTCCCTGTGGATTTGCTTGGTCTTGGTCTGAATTGTGTGGAGAGAGAAGCCCTCCAGAAGCCGTTAGGCAGCAATGCCCCAGCAAGTCATGCTTGTGCACACGCGTGTACTCACTGTGCAAGCTGTCTTCATGCTTCTGCTATGGAAAGTTTCGCATTAACTCCCTTGGGCCTGTGACTCAGCTTCGGCAGCTGTCAGCGGGTCCTCTCGTTGCGCCTGTGCCCACTCACTTGTCCCAATTCAAGCAAACGCCAAACCTCCTCTTGCTTCATTCATGAATATTCCACAAGTTTCCTCTAGCAGATGAGGGAGCTTTCTGTTCGTCTCCACAGCGACATCGCATCTTTCAAACATTCTAGCAGGGGAGGCCGGGCATTCAGCCAAGCACCCGGGCTTGGTTCCCGGCTCTGGTTCCCGAATTCTGCTTCCTGCTAATGCAGACCCTGAGAGGCCCCAGTGAGGGCTCCAGTGATTGGGCTTCTGACCCGGTGTGGGAGACCTGGACCGGGTCCCCAGCTCCTGGCTTCAACCCCAGCTTGGCGCTTGGCGCTGTAGGCATTCCCTGTGAACCAGCAGACGGTCACTACCTGGTCTCTCTCTCTCCCTCTCAAAGAAAAAAGAAAAAGAATTCAACAAGTATACTCCAAAGTTATCCAAGTATCTCCTAAGTGTTTCCATTTCTCTACTTAGGGTGGGGGTGGGAAGGACAGCTGTTGTGGCACCGTAGGTTAAGCTGTCACTCGGGGCACACACGTCTCAGGGCACTGGCCTCCAACCCAGCTCTCTTTTAATGCATACCCGGAGGCAGCAGAGTAGGTGACGGCTCAAACATGGGACACTCAGATGGTGCTCCTGGCTCCTGGCCTGGTTCAGTCCTGGCTGTTGTGGGCATTTGGGAGAGGCAGATAGAAGATCTCTCTCTTTCTCTCTCTCTCTCTATTGCTCTACCTTTCAAGTAGATGAAAATAAATAAACACTTTAAATTTCTCCAACTGGCCCAAGCATTTTAAAATGCTTGAAACAGGAACCCAGTCCAGGGCCTGCCCTTGACTGACAGCTGTCTCTTCTCTGCGCTTCCCCTCGTCTCCTCTTCCTCCTGTTGGGTGGAGCCTGGTGCTGTCCTGGATGGTGCTCAGAGCCCCCTGTGTTCCTTACACTGCTCATGGATTAGGAGCTGTGATCAGGTTCAGTTTTCTTGGCCATGGCTGTGTTGCTGGCCTGCACACTGAATGTGGCCTTGATCCAGAGTCCATTGCTGTCGACAACCAGGCCCTGCAAGGCCCCGGCCTCGCCAGCACTGGCCCTCAGCCACACTCTGGGCGCTGCTCAGATTTGGACACACAGCCCTAGGCTCCACATCTGGCTGAAAGCAGGTGCCATTTTCTTTTCAATGTGGATTTATTTTACTGACTTCGAGGGCAGAGAGACAGAGACAGGGAGCTCCCATTTGCTGGTTCACTCCCCAAAGGCCCACCAGAGCCAGGGCTGGGCCAGGCCAAAGCTGGGAGCTGAGAATTCCATCCAGGTCTCCCTCGTGGGTAGGACTCAGGTGTGCGACTACCTCCCAGGTGTGTAGTGGCAGGAGGCTGGAATCAGAAGTGGAGCCAGGGCTTGAGCCCGCCCAGGAGCTGAGCTTTCTGCCTTGTCCGGTTGATGTGCCTGTTGTTCCTGCTTTCCTGGGAGAGCACAGCATGGCTACCGTGCTGGTCTGTGCGTAACCATGGGCCGTGGAGGGTGGACATCCCTGCAGACCCTGGCTCCCAGCAGAAAGGCTGGCGGCACCAGCCTCACCTCAGGCAGGTCACTTCCTGATTGTACAGGTAGGACAGACAGTACTTCGAGGTTCTTCATGGGGCGGGCACGGGACATTTGTTTGAACACAGGTGAAGTCGTCAGTCTTCAGTTCCCTGCCCAAGTCAGAAGGTGATAGTGGAGCTGAGACCAAGTGCTCCAGGCCGATGCACGAGAACCAGGCTGGGGGGCAAAGCGGCACCCCCGACACACCCTGGCTCTGCCGAGACTGGAGACACGGCAGATGCAGCCTTGCCCTCTGCACTGCCAGGGTCCCCCACAATGGCCAGGAATTAAACGGGGGCTGGGACCACACTGCCGGAACTGGACGCTGACCGCTTCAGCAAGGAACTGCCCGCTCGCAGCCATTTCCTCACCTTTGAGATGAGCACAGCAAATCCCCGCCCCGCCGCCCCGGGCCCTGGGCCGCGGTGCACAGCTGCGGGGCTGCGCCGGACTGCAGTCGGGTGGCTGAAGGGGCCAGGACCTGGTGCCACTCAGGGCACTGCAGTAAAAGGCAACTCAGGTTTTTAAATTAGCTACAAACCAGTGAAGGCCTGAGCATTACTCTGAGTATTGTTCTGGAGACAGACACACGCCTCCTGGGGGCAGCCGCTCCACGGACAGAGGCGGGGGGCAGGACGGGCCGGGCAGGGGTGCCCAGGGAGGGGGCGACGGAGCAACCACACCTGTGGTGCCGTTCATAATATTTATTTTGGAAAAATATTTTAAAAAGGAATTTCTTCATTAACAAAACCGTAAAAAAACTCAAATAACATTTGCACAATATTCCATAAATACATTTATATACAAAAAATATAGTCACATAGACCCGAAGTGCCTTTATACATATTTACCAAAATTTAAATTATAAAAAATGAACATCACAAAATACTCAAGCTTTACAGATATCATGAAAAATATTTTTACAAATCAAAAAATAACACATTTTTTCCATCTAGAAAAACACATTTTAGTATCAAAAAGGACAATAAAGGCAGTGTTTGTGTTTCTAGTTCAAGAACAGACTGGCTCACAGGAATCCAAAAGGTACACTCAGGCAGTGCATGCGTCTCGTGGTCACCACGCCACTCCTTAAATACATACTCCTTTAAAAGCGACTGTCCATAGTGCAATGGGGCGGCATAGACGGCAGCGCCGCGGCGGCCGGCCCGCGACCGGCCGCGCGCCGGGGTGCCTCTGCGACCTGGGAAGAGAACCAGCTCGGTCTGGAGTGAGCTTCTCAGCAGCAGTCCACGGAGGGCCTCCCTCTCCTCTTTCAGCAGCATCCGTTGGGGCATATATCCTTGGAATTTTATGTCAGAGAAATGGGAATTTTGCCACATCGCTTCCAGTCTACACCTGCAGACAGAAGGGAAGTGAGCTCAGGCGAGCCCTGGGACGCCCCGGCTCCCCGCCTCCGCCCCGGGCAGGCCGCACTGACCTCGGTGGCAATAACGCACTCGTCCTTCTCCTCTGATATGACGTACACCGACTGGTACTTGGTGTCTTTCGAAGTGGAATAGACGGACTCTGGCCTTTTCCTTTCAGTTGCTTCTCCTCTACAAGAAACCCAGACAGAACCCCAGTGAAGGTGGGAAAGCACGGGCCAGAGACTGCAGGACAACGCCCCAGGAGGCCGTCCCGCCGCGCCCGCCTTCCCAGCCGCAGCACGCACCCCCGGAGTGTGGCCGGGGCAGCCTTCTCCTCCCCGGCAGAGCCCTGGGGCTGGCCCTTGGCGTCCGGCTTGCTGTGAGCGTCCCTGCTGCGGGCTTCACCACCCGTGAGGTCCGGCACGAGGTTATAGTCCACCGCAGGGTAGCGGGCTCTGAAGCCGTTCTTGTCGGCACCGTGGTCCGCGTGGAAGTCCGCCTTCTTGTTGGTGTTCTTGATCTGCGTGGGCCCGACGACGACACTGACCGACAGGTCCTTCTCCCGCTGCCAGCTGGCCAGGTTGTTCATGGTCCCCGTCTCGCCCCGGCAGGGGTCGGCAGGCGGTCGGCGCTTCTGCAGCCGCAGCCGGACACACACGACGGCAGCAGCACAGCTGAGCAGCAGCATGAGGACGAGGACGATGCCGGCACACACGGCCACCCAAGGGAAAGGCCCGCCCTGGCCCTCCACGAACTTTTCCGTGAGGTCTACCACCATGGGGCCCGGGGGCGGCTCGGGGAGCAGGAACTGGCAGTTGGGGCCCCCGTAGCCCCGGGCACACTCGCACACGTAGCGATGGCCCCTCTCGTGGCAGGTGGCCCCGTTGTGGCAGGGTGCATGCTCGCACCTGCTGAAGGGGGCGCTGCAGTTCCTGCCTGTGTAGCCCGGGGGGCAGGTACAGGAGTAGTCGTTCACACCGTCCCTGCAGGTGCCCCCATTTGCACATGGGGAGGAGGCACAGTCATCCACGTTGTTGTCACAGTGCCTCCCAGAAAAGCCAGCCTGGCAGCGGCACAGGTAGGCATCGCCAAGGTCCATGCAGGTGGCACCTGGAACACAAGGGTGGGAGCAGTTACGGGGTGTCCTCTGCACACACTGACTCATGTGTACCCCAGAGACACAGGCACAGGAAAGTCACTCTGTCCTCCACACACACCCTGATGTCACGTGGACCCACAGGCACAGGCACGGAAACAGCCATGGTGCGTCAACCACACACAGCCTGATGTCACAAGGACCCCAGACACAGGCACAGGAACACTGTGTCCTCCACACACCCTGATGTCACATGGACCCGACAGACACAGGCATAGGAATATTTATACTGTGTCCTCCATACCCTGACATCATGTGAACCCACAGGCACAAGCACAGGCACACTGTGTCCTCCACACACCCTGATGTCACATGGACCCCACAGGCACAGTACAGGAATAGTCACACTGTGTCCCCATACCCTGACATCATGTGAACCCAGACACAGGCACAGGAACAGCTATGGTGCATCTACCACATACACCCTGATGTCACACAGACCTATAGACACAGGCACAGGAACAGTCACACCATGTCCTACACACACACCCTGATGTCACACTGACCCCACAGACACAGGCACAGGAATAGTCACTCTGTGTCCTCCACACACACCCTGATGTCACACCGACCCCACAGTCACAGGCACAAGAACAGTCACACCATGTCCTCCACACACACCCTGATGTCACACAGACCCCACAGGCACAGGAACAGTCACTCTGTGTCCTCTACACACCCTGATGTCACACAGACCCCACAGGCACAGGCACAGGCTCAGGAACAATCACACCATGTCCTCCACACACCCTGATGTCACACTGACCCACAGACATAGGCACAGGAACAGTCACACCGTGTCCTACACACACCCTGACGTCACATGGACCCCACAGACACTACACAGGAACAGTAACACTGTGTCCTCCACACACACTCTGATGTCACACAGACCCCACAGGCACAGGCACAGGCACAGTCACTCTGTGTCCTCTACTACCCTGATGTCACGTTGACCCACAGGCACAGGAACAATCACACCGTGTCCTCCACACACACCCTGATGTCACACAGACCGCAAAGGCACAAGAACAGTCACACTGTGTCCTCCACACACACCCTGATGTCACACAGACCCCACAGGCAAGGAACAGTCACTCTGTGTCCTCTACACACCCTGATGTCACACAGACCCCACAGACACTACATAGGAACAGTCACACCATGTCCTACACACACACCCTGATGTCACACTGACCCCACAGATACTACATAGGCACAGTCACACTGTGTCCTCCACACACACCCTGATGTCACACAGACCCCACAGGCCCAGGCCCAGGAACAGTCACTCTGTGTCCTCTACACACCCTGATGTCATGTTGACCCACAGGCACAGGAACAGTCACACCGTGTCCTCCACACACACCTTGATGTCACACAAACCCCACAGGCACAGGCACAGTCACTCTGTGTCCTCTACTACCCTGATGTCACGTTGACCCACAGGCACAGGAACAGTCACACCATGTCCTACACACACACCCTGATGTCACACTGACCCCACAGATACTACATAGGCACAGTCACACCGTGTCCTACACACACACCCTGATGTCACATGGACCCTACAGATACTACATAGGCACAGTCACACCATGTCCTCTACACACACCCTGATGTCACACAGACCCCACAGACACAGGCACAGGCACAGTCACACCATGTCCTCCACACACACCCTGATGTCACACAGACCTCACAGACACAGGCACAAGAACAGTCGTACCGTGTCCTACACACACACCCTGATGTCACACAGACCCCACAGACACAGGCACAGGCACAGTCACACCATGTCCTCCACACACACCCTGATGTCACACAGACCCCACAGGCACAGGAACAGTCACTCTGTGTCCTCCACACACACCCTGATGTCACATTGACCCACAGGCACAGGCACAGGAACAATCACACCATGTCCTCCACACACACCCTGATGTCACACAGACCCCACAGGCACAGGAACAGTCACTCTGTGTCCTCCACACACACCCTGATGTCACATTGACCCACAGGCACAGGCACAGGAACAATCACACCATGTCCTCCACACACACCCTGACCTAATGTGAACCCCAGACACAGGCATAGGAACAGTCACACTGTGTGCTCCACATATATCCTGAAACAGCCTCTGCATCTGTGTCAGGCACCAGGAGACACCAGCCAAGCCAGACAGCTTGTGTCCTGAACAAACCCTTGCTGAAGGCAACAAACACATTCTCTGACCTCCAAGATGAGGCTGCTGCAGGACTACAGGTCCCAAAGCACAAATCAGAAGCAAAAGCAAGAGCCAGTGCGTCCCGGGCAGCCATGCTCTGACGGGCGCTGCTGGGAACCCTGAGCTGTGCTGAGCTTCAACACACACCTGACAGGGGGCGGTCAGCACCATACCCCAGTACACATGGGAACAAAGACTGACCGAGGACACCATGCTCACCCCCAGGGTCGGCCACTGAGCCGGGCCTGATCTGGGCCATCCGGGTCCAGCTCCCTGGTTGTGGGTTTGCTTTAGGCACCCTGGCCCTTGCACACGAGCAGGGGCTACACTGGGCAAAGGTGTGAACCTGGGCTTGGCTGGGTTCCCAGCGAGCACGACCTCCTGGGCCAAGGGCAGTCTCCGTGGCCCTGAGCGAGCCATTCCATGGCCTGCCTCTCTGGCCCCCTGGCATTCCCAGGCAGAGGACGGCTTCCACAGAGAACCCCCGACTGCATAAACCCACAAACAAGGCACTCACAAAGCAACGACCTCCATAGGAACATGGGGCACCTGCTAAGCCCGGCAGTCTCTGACCGATCAGGGGTTCTGCCCTCACCATTGGAGCAGGGTGAAGAGCTGCAGTGGTCCATCTTCTTCTCGCAGTTAAAGCCGGAGTAGCCCACGGGGCAGCGGCAGGTGTAGCCCCCTTCCGGGTTGTCAGAGCAGCGACCCCCGTGGAAGCAGGGGCCGTCGGCGCAGGTCATGGCACTCAGCTCACAGACTTTCCCATAGAAGCCAGGAGGGCAAGTGCAGGAATAGCCGTTCTCTAGGTCCTGTGTGACAAGATCAGAGAACACTTGCCAAAACCGCTCCACACCACACACACTCCGGGCTCGCTCTGGGCCCAGGGCTCCCAGGCTTCCGTGAGACGCCACGGACCCCCGCCTCACCGTGCAGCTCCCACCGTTCCTGCAGGGGCTGGCGTCACACTCGTCGATCTCCAGCTCGCAGTTGGCACCGGAATACCCAGGTCGGCAGGAGCAGGTGTAGCTGCCCTGGCCTGTGTTGGTGCAGGTGGCTCCATTCCTGCAGGGCTTGTGGTGTGTGCAGTAGTTCAGATCTGCCAGGGGCAGACAGGGAAAGAGGGGGACAGGAGACTCAGTGTCAAATGCAGTGAGACTCTCTTGTTCCAGGACCCCGTCACAGGGGATCCAGGCTGCCCTTACCTTGGTTGCAGAAGAGGCCCCCCCAGCCCTCCTGACAGTTACACTGCCAGGGCTGCTGGCAGGTGCCGTGGAGACAGCCTGGGTATCGAATGCACTCGTCACAGTACCGGCCCTGCCAGCCCACTCTGCACCTTGGGGAAAGAGCACACTGAGGTGAGGCTGACGGTACGTTCACATACCACAGTCCACCCTCCAGGAGCACCAATAAACCCTGGGGCCTCAGACACGTCACCTGGGGGGCCTTCAACGCCTGACCCTGGGCTGTCTACCTCCCCCCACACACAGCAGGCTCCGACTCTGGTTCAGGAGAGCAGCCTCGCCCCCTCCGCAATTCCAGCATTGAGGTGAACTCGCGTTTTCTGTGCCAACTCTTTTTTATCTGCTACCTGCTAATTTTTATAACCATCGTGGAGCAAGCCTGAGTGCAAGCCCACGACCTTACACATTTCCCAGTACTTATTAAGTAGAAACACCGCCCACCTAACCTTGCTGAGTGCTCCCACCACCTGGGGATGCCTCACCAACACCCGGACAAGGCCACACACAAACCCAAAGGACAGCCCCTGCAAACGTACTTGCACTCCCCGGGCTTGTCACAGAAGCCGTGCTGCTCGTCACACCCCGGAAGGCAGATCGCTGCGAGCCAAAAACAGACAGAACTGAGCCCACCCGCGAGTCCCAGCCCTGCCTGTGGGGGCCCGGCCCACCCGCCTGCTGGCTCCGGACTCTCCTCAGCCCAGGGACGGCATTCCTCTCAGCACAGTGGCTCCAGGACAAAAGGGCTCTCCGGAGCCCCCACCCCCACCCCATCCCCTTTTCTTCTGAGAGAGGGTCAGAAGTCTTCCCCTCCCCTCCCCCACTTCCCAGTTCTATGCACAAAGCTCCACCTCTTAATATCCCAGAAAGTGCAGATAAGAGTGGACAGCTGGCATGCAGGGTGCCAGGGCAGGACAGCTGCTCCATTGTGTCTTCTCTCCCAGCAGCTGCCCCGGCACAACAATGCCGCCTCCCCCGCCCCACGTCCCCACCCCCCACACACCCCCAGCGTGTACACACACACACACACACGCGCGCGCGCGCGCGCTTTTGCCAGAGCAGGCAGGCGTCCTGGCCGCCCATCCCGAGAGATCTAATCTATGGCACGCGAGCTGGGACTCCGGTATTTGAATAAAAAGAAAGTTTCAGTTCCTGGCTACCCCGAGCCCAGCCGGGGAACAGGAAAGGAGAAAGCCAGGGTGGGGGTGCCCCGGAGGGGCCCGAGGCAGCGGCTGAGGCTTTGAGCTGGCTCACTCTGCTGGTTACGAAACGCAGTCACCAGCAGCTCCACAGGTTTTTAAACAGAAGCAGCTCAGCCCCGCAGGAGGATGGCTGGCACTCCAGGCAGGTGAAGACACACCCTCCCCCCAGGCACAAGTCACAGCCCCTCCCTGCCCACATTCTCAGGGGTTCTGGGCCCCTGCGGGCCCCAACAGCTGCACAGCGGCCCACAGAGGTCCAGGTGCGCCAGTGCCAGCTTCTTTAGTCCCTGGAGCGGAGGTGTTCTCCACACACACACACACACACACACACGTGCCAGTCCCATGTGCCACTGCGAGGGAGCTTCGGCTGCTGTCACGGCACGGGGACTCCTGGAAGCAGCCCCGCACTCCGGCCCGTCCCTCCCTTCCTTCCTCCCCTCCCTCCCCGACACACGACACACGCCCTGGGCAGCACAAGCCTCACTTCCTGACCTCTGGCCCTGCCTGGAAAGTGCTCCTTGGCCGGGAGGCAGCTTCCCTGCTCCCTGGGCTCAGAGCCCCCCCAGGACCCCGGGGTCCCTCGGGAGGGACTCACGTTCCGTGCAGTACTGGCCTTTCCAGCCAGAGTTGCAGACCTTCTCGCCCCGCTCCCCACAGGTGAAGTGGCCGAAGGCATCGTCCCGGGGCCGGCAGAACACGGAGCAGCCCTCCCCGTAGTAGTGCTCGTCACAGACGAAGCGGTAGGAGTACTTGAGGTCGGTGCGGCCGCTGCTGTGCAGGTCCTGGGACCACTCCTCACCCACCGTCAGGTGCCTCTGTGTGGCCAGGCGGCTGATGAGCCGCTCTGGGTTTTCTGGACGGGAAAACGTGGTGGTGGGGGGTGTTGGTTCCCACAGAGAAGCCACAGAACCGTCTGTGGAGAACACAGCGCTGTTCCTGGGGGTGGGGGTGGGGTCTGTGTTTACCTGTGGCGAGGTCATCCGGGGAGTCTGTGTGCAGAGCTTCAATAATCAGGGAGAAGGTGCCCTGGGAGAACCGAAGGTAAGCCGGAAATGTACAAAACAAAGCAAAACCCAAGTCACTCGGGATGCCCTAGCCAGAGCCGAGGCTGCAGAGGGGCCTCCCTTCCCCCAAGGCCAAGAACTTTCAAAGGGCGCCTTCCGGCCTAGGCTTGGCCCTTAGCGAAGGAACTCGGGTCCTAAGGTGCGCATAGCAGGGGACCCGCGCGGTGGGCGAGGCGCAGGGCCAGGAGAACTGTCCCCGCGTGGGCCCGTCTGGCGCGGGGCACGGAAATACCGGGGTCTGAGAACCATCCGGGCTTTGGCCTCCTCGCATCTCACCCCCAGGAGGACCCGGTGCAGCCACGGCCCGGTCACTCCCGACCCGGGGGTCGACGCCGCGGGCGAGGCCCCCTAGGGCGCCCCCTGCCTGCGTGGAGCAGGAGTCTCCGAGGTTCCCGCGGGGGTGCCCCGCTACGCGCCTGGAGCCCGGGCAGGTGGGGTACGTCGCCCGCCCCGCTCCCAGCCCAGCCTGGCGCCCGCAGGTGCCGCCCTCACCGGCCAGGTGAAGCCGAAGGGGAAGCGTATGGGGTTGCTGAAGGCGGGGTCGGCGCCCGCGCCGTCGGGCAGGCTGAAGGAGTCGACGCCCAGCACGGGCGTGACGGCACTGCCGTAGGTGCAGGGCGGCTCGGGCGACACGCTGGCCTGGTAGTGCTTGAGACACACGCGGAAAAAGGTCCGGCACGCGCACGGCGGCCCTGCGCCCCCACGGCAGCAGCTGCGGTTCCCCAGGATCCCCTTCTTGTTGACGAACTCCTGCAGCTTCAGCTCGAAGACCCCCGAGCTCCAGACCTGGCGGAGGAGGAGGGGGCGTGAGCCGCCGGGCTGGCCAAGGGAGGGCCCCTTGGGGTCGACGGCGTGCGCTCGACCCTCTCTCGGGTCCGCCGCGCGCCCCGGTTCCCACCGGAAAACCCACCTGGCACAGCAGAGCCGAGACCACGGCGAGGGCCAGCGCGCCTCGACGGCCCATGGCACCCCCTGACGCGCTCGCCCTGTGGTGTCCCCTTCTCGTCCTCCCGAAAGGGCAGCGGACGCGAGCGGGGCGGACGCGGCACGAGAGCGCCCTGCTTGGCTCCAGGCTCTTTCTTCGGGGTCGTCTCCGCCCGGCCCAGGCTGCTGTCCCCGGTCCGCGCTCCGGGGCTGCGGGCCGCGCTGGGCGCGGGGCAGGAAAGACTCGCTCGGGAGGTCGCCGCTTTCAGTTTCCCTCCTCTTCCTTCCAATCCGCGAGTGGGTTAGGGTCGCCGGCTTCCTGGTTTTGTCTCGAGCGTCTTCAGAGAGAAGAGGGAGGGAGCGGAGGCGTCCCCACGGCCAGCCCAATTCCCAAGGGCGCTGCGGAGGAAGCCTCCGAGCCGATTAGAAATCCCGGCGAGGCGATAATCCGGCGGCGAGCACGGAGGGGACCTGGGCGCCGGCGGCCGCGGCGGCGGCGGCGGCCCGGGGTCGGCCGTGTCACCGAGCACTCGGCGCCCGGTTCTCCTGCGCCACCGCCAAGGCCCGCGTCTTTCCGCCGAATCCAGCCAATGCCATCCGCGGCGGCGCGCACAGGCTCGCCGGGCGTGGGAGGCGGCTCTGCGCGCTGCCCTCACCGCTCCGCCCCGGCCGGGTCTCCGCTGCGCCCTGGCCGCGGCTGCGCTGCGCCCGCGCTTATATCGCGCCGGCCGCCCGCATGGCTGATGAGATGCAAATGGCCAGCCCCCCAGCCTGGCGAGCGCGGCCACAAAGGAGCCACTTTTCCAAACCCTGCGCTCAATGGATCGCCAAATGGTCAGTGAGCTGTAAAATGTGCAACCCTCTCCCCGCCCCCACCCTCCCCGCCCCCTCCCCTCCGCTAGTCCCACACAAAACGCGCTCATTTACATTCCTGCGAAACGTTCGCGGCGAGACTCGCTGCGCTCGCGGAGCTGGTGCCGCCGCCCGGGCCCCTCCGCGCGGGCCCCTCGCGCTCCCTCGCGGCCGCACAGACCTCGGCGACGCTCGGGGGCGGCGCTGCGCCTGCAGCCCCACCGGGAGCGCCCGACCTGCGCGGCTGGAATCCTCTTCTGGTCCCAAAGGACCCGGGCCGCGGCGCCCCCCGTGGGCTCCTCGCCGGCGACCCCGGGTTTAGGGGCGTGGGGGGGGGGGGTCCGCGTTACAAGACCGAGTTCCTGGGCCTTCTTCTGCGGGGGAGGCTCCGACCGACCGAGGAGAAGCCTGGGGTTGGGCCGGGGGAATGGGGTCGCCCGTAGGAAAGGAGTGGGCGGAGCGGGGGCAGTTTCTGGAAGTTTGGGGAGGTCGGCAAGGATTCAGCTCCCGGCTGAGGACCGAGAGTGCGCCTCGGGGCGCGCACATCCTGCGCGCCTAAGGCAGGGCCAGGGAGCCCCCCAGGTACCCCAGCAATCATCCGGGGCCCCTGGGGCTTAGAGTTGGGGGTCAGATCCCCGCGGCGCATCCCCAGAGCTGGGAGAGCCCCTCCCCGACCCGCACACGTCCTCCCCTGAGCGGGTCTCTGGGTCTCGGCCCCTCTCTCCCGGGCATTCCCCCCTCGGCCTCCCCGGCTTGGTAAAAAGTGGGCTTGGTGTGTGTCGCTCGCGTGGCTGTCATTAAGGCAGTGTGTTATTGTGCGCGGCTGAGTCACTGGCTCTTTGTGCGTTCAGCTGTATGGTAATGCAGACAGCACCTGCTCCCTGCACAATGCGGAGCGGGCGAGCTCCCCTCCGCGCGCGCCCAGGCCTCTGCAACAATGTCCGGCACATGTTCCAGGGCCCCCCCCTCCCCCCCGCCAACCTCTACACAACCGTCACCTTCGTAGGTTTTTACATGTCCGTCAGACACTAGAACTTTTGTTTTCGTTTTTTTTTTTTTTTTTTTTTTTAAGGAAAACGAGTTTACTGGGAGGGCTGAGAACACAGTCTCACACAATGAGTTATCTAAATTGCTCTCACACTCACAGGCGGGATGGCGGAGGAAGTTGGGGCGTAGGCTCTTGCCAGTACTTTGGCATCCAGCTTTGTCCTGGACACGCACTCTGCCATGTCCTTCCTGGCCCTGTCTGCCCCTCCTCAAACCAAACCCCAGAGCAGCTTCATCGGGTGCAAGGGGTGCTCCTCGGGGTGTGTAGCCCCCCTGCACTGGCGAGAACGTGCGCTGTCTTCCACACTTGATCACAAAGTATAGGACGCACAGAAAGAAGGGAGCCCCTCTCGCACTGGACAAAGCCCCAGACAACAGCAATCTAAAAGTCCCTGTGAAGTCATCCACAGTGGTCTCCGGCCCTGGCACACTGGGAGGCCACTCTGTGGCTCCTTTCCAGGTGACCCAGCCCTCTAGCCATACCTCATCTCCTGAATAACTACAAAGTTGCAGCATCAACAGAGACCCACACTTGAGGTTTTCTGTCTGCCTCAGGGAAAGGCAGAGTTAATCAAAAGTAATGTTTCAGGCTGAGGTGCGGGGCAGGCTGGGACCCCACCGTGACCCCTGCAGTTTGTTTCAGAGCAAATGCAGGCTTCAGAAGTCCCTGACACCTCTGCCTTGGGAGCTGTCCTCCGCGTGCGCCCAAGGCTGGGCTGGGCTGGCTCCAATCCTAATTTAATCTTGCCACCTAGTGTCAGCGAGCCTTTTCCACCGGCTCTGCTTCCTACTTCAGAGAACCCCCTTCGTCAGTGCTCTGGAGCAGTTCACGGGGGCTGGGGGAGAGGGGGTGGGCAGAGGTTCTGGGCCGGGGAGAAAGAGACTTGAGGTCAGAATCCAGAATCCTCTGTGCCTGCGAGACACTGGGCATAGATTTCAGTAAGAAACAAAATATCAGGAACCTTTTAATTAGAAAATGGAAGTGGGGAAGCAGGCTCATTTGAATGCCTGTTTAGAAAACGAAATAAAAAGCTCCACGCGCAAGGGCTTAGACCTTGGGGGGAAACACTTGCCCCAAATCTTTAACAACCCCCCTTAGCATCAAGCATTTGTTAAACTGACATGGCACAGATTTCTCGATTACAGCGGCAAAGCGGGACTGAAAGGCATCGTAAAATCCATCAGAATCCTGCCCAAGGTTCATTCTTTTCCAACTTAATTTATGCCACGCGATTCTATATTGGGGAAATCAAGCAGAAAGCTCTTTTCTCCTCCCCCTCTCCTTCCTCTTCGCCCTCCTCCTCCTCCTCCTCCTTTGCCCCCACCCCTGAGCTGGTTCCTCTTCCCCTCCCTCTTTGGGGAGACTGTTTAACTTCAGGGTTTCTATGGGGCCTGTTGTAGTTTAACTCCTGCGCACCAGTAGCGGGGATGAACAAAGGAGAGACTCGAGGCCCGACTATTCACCCTTTCTCTGCACTTTAATTTTCATTGATTGGGAAGACAAGGGGAGCCCTTGGGGATGTGAGCTGGAGGGGGTGACACGCCTTTAGACGCCATCGGCCCCCTAGCCAGCCATCTGCTCCGAACCAAATGGCGTTTTTTCACTCCCTAACTGCATGTCTCTATACTCCCACAGCCCAGCGCCCGGAACCCCCCAACGGGGAGGGAGCAGAGACAGAGTTGGTTCCGCAGAGCGGCCTCCCCGTTGGCCCGGCTCCCCACGCACCATAAATCCTCACCTTGCTCACTAGGAAAAAACAGGAAACTTTCTTTTAAACACTTCTTGATGTCTCAGCAAATTTACTGTACAAAGTGAGGCTCATTAGGGTCAGCCTCACCCGATGGTGGTTTGTCTTTTGCAGGCATGGTGCACACTCCCAGAGGCTGAGGTGTGGGCTCCTGCCCCCCCTCCACGCTTCATTGGGCCCTTGGGATGGGAGCTCATCCTGGCGTCCTCTGGGTCCCCACTGCCCTTCCCCCTGAAGGTGAGGCGCCCACGTGGGCCGCAGAGGCCGCTGCCCAGGTTCAGTTTTCTGTGTAAACAAAGTGTGGAGGCTTGAGTGGGGCTTGTGTTCTCAGCCCAGCTGAAGGCTGTATACCCAACAGAGAGGTTCTCTTCTCCCTGAGAAGAATTAGGGTCCTTGTTCACAACAACAAAATAAAAAACTTCCAGGCAGCAAAGCTGGTGTTGGTCAAACATGCCAGCTCACTTGAGAAAAGAAGACGAAGCAGGGGGCGTCGAGCCTGCGTATTAATGAGTATTAGTATCGCCTCTCGCCCCTCACCCGCTTCTGCCCCTTCTGCGACAGCCACGGTTTTGGAATCTGAAAGCGGGCAGAATAGTAGGGGCACTGGCCTGCGGGCTGTGAATGCCTGGCTCCGCGCGCCGCGCCGCCGGGGGTCCCTCCTCCCCAAGGCCCAGCGCCGCGGTCCACCCGGCCGGCCGGCCGCTGCTGGGCTCTCCCCTAGCCGGCCCACTCGCCCTCGGCGGGGAAAAGCCAGGAGGGGCACCGAGCTCCCGCCCCTGTGCTGGGGCCAGCGGGAAGGGGGCGTGCAGCCTGCAGCGCACCGGGTCTCGCAAAGAGGGTCAGTGGCGGCCCGGGGGCGGCGGCCCCGCCGGAGCTCCCGACCTTCCTCGCGCCCCGGGCCGCGGGTCCCTGCTCTGTGGCCAGCCTTGAGGATCTTACTGCGAGGGGCAACCGCGCGCCTCCCACTCGGCCCGCTGGGAGCAGTGGTCGCGGGGTCGAGGCCAAACCGGGCGTGTATGGAGCCGGACAGGGGCCCGGGCGTGCGAGGAGCCTCGGGCCTGCGAAGGCACGCGCATATCTGCACGCAAGCGCGCCCGCCCCGCACCAGCCTCGCCCAGAGCCCGCACAGCCCCGCCGCGGCCCCCGCGCCGCCTCATCTCCATGACAAAGCGCGGTTACCTGCGCCGGCACCGCGGGCGCCTTTGTCCTGGGATCCGATTACGCGGCAGCTGCTCGCGGCCGCCCGCGCCAGGCCCGAGCGGCCCCTCCGAAGCCCCTGCCCACGGGGCGGGCCCGAGCCGGAGCCGGGGCCCGGGACGGTCGGTGGGGGCCGTACTGACCGGTTTAGCGTGCGCTGGGCCAGAGACCCGCGACACGGAGCGGGCGCCCCGGAAGGCTTCCTGGAGGCGGTGGCGTCGCCCAGCGGGCACTAGGCGGGGCCGCGGTGTGGGTCCGAGGTTGGGAGGGCGTGGCCCGCGGGCACCGGTGGTGGGGTCCGGGTCGGTGCCGGTCCGGGCGGTCACCGCGACTCTGCGCAGAGCGACCAGCCGAGAAAGGCACTGAGAGGGCGGCGGGCGCGGCCCCCGTGGCCCGCGGCGTCCCCGTGCCTCCGCGCGCCCTCAGCGAGCGCGGCGGGGAACAGATGTGGGCACCTGCGGTGACAGGCCGCATATGTTCCCCCATTCACAGGCATTCAGACGCCGCCACAATGAACGGCCTTTGTGCGCCGAGTCACTAATGTATTAATCTGCTCTCCCCAGAGCACCGGCCTGTTTAATTTTTCACCAGCAATAACATCTGATCTAATCCTTAAATCGGCTCCCAAAAGCCTTCCCTCCCGCCCACCCCCTCCCGACGAACGTGTGAAGTTATTCAACCTTGCACCTGTTGCTGCTGAGTGGGGCGTGGGTCGTGGCCAGTGTGCGGTGAGGCTCCCCGCCCGCACGTGGTGCCAGCGAGGGAGGGACCGTAATTACGAGGCCGGCGCACGCACCCCTCCCGCGCAAGGGCCGGGTAGCATGTACACAAGGTTCCCATGGGCCTTTTTGTGTATTAAACTCTAGTGGTTATTATAAATATCGGTCAATGGGCCTCACCGCGAAGGTAACATAAATCTCAGATGTAAGACCTCGGTTTCCTCAGCACTTTCGCAGCTCGCCTCCTTTATCTTAGCATCCCTCATTCTATTTGGTTTGTTTTCGACCACAATGAGTCCTTTAGCCCATTGTGGCTGACACAATGCACATGGACATCAGACTGTGAATGAAGACAGAGGCCATTTAAACAAACCTCTCTCCTTCCCCTCCCTTGTATATGAATGGGCCTTCTGCGCTGGCTGCTAGGATACCGGCTTTCCAAACCCTCCTCCAGCAAATGGGCTGTGCAGAAAGGGACCCGAAGGACACACGGGAAGGGGAGCACTGGAGGGAGAGGGGCAGGCCCAGGCAAGATTTCCACTTTCAGGTCGGTACGTTTCTGAGTGTTTTCTAAGCACTGTGGGTCTGGCTTTGCCGCGAGTCCTTCCTTCCAGTCATTTCCGTTCCTAGCCCCTCGCATCAGGAAACACAGATGGGGACAGCAGTCACCACCATGATTCATCTTGGCTCGTTTTCTCTCAGGAAAACGGAACGCGGTGTGCGTAGCCATCACAACCAGTATCTCAGGTGCCCGGATTACTGATGGACTGTGGTGGTGGTTGGAGCAGCTCTATTATCACTACTAAGTGGACAGAGCAAGATACAGAGTGCTTCCAGGTGGGCACAGGCCCAGGCCCTCAGTGTTGGCAGGGATCCACCCCACCCACTGCCAGCAGAGAGCCCTTCACTCCTCAGCTTGGAGCCAGCCAGCTCTCTAGACAAATGGGAACCACGATTGACTTAGAGCAGGTGGAGCTGGGGCCAGACATGGTAGGAAGTGGACGATGCCTCTATTTCCTCTTTACTCTCATTCACTCACCATCACAGCGCTGGGCTCCACAGTGAAACTGGACCTGCCCTCTGCCCCCATGCAGATCAGGGGGTGTGTGGGGGGTGTCCAATAGTTCTCCTGATATTCCATTTTATGGAACAGATCTTATGGGATTAAAATTTCTTTGTGAAACCAGTGAGACCATCTTTCCTAGAAGTTCAGGTTCTTTTTTCTTTTTTTTTTTTTTTTCCAGATTTATGTATTTATTTGAAAGGCAGAGTTACAGAGATAAAGGGGAGAGACAAAGATCTACCATCTGCTGGTTCACTCCCCAGATGACTGCGATGGCTGGAGCTGGGCCAAGCCAAAGCCAGGAGCCTAGAACTCCATCCATGTCTCACACGTGGGTGGCAGGGGTCCAAGCACTTGGGCCATCATCCACTGTTTTCCCAGGCTTGTTAGCAGAGAACTGGATCAGAAGTGGAGCAGCTGTGACACTAAGGTTGGGGGCCCATATGGTGGGTGGCTTAACCCACAGCACCACAAAAACGCTGGCTCTAGAAATTCAGTTTCTTTAATAAATACAGAACTAGGCAGGTTTTCTCTTCTGGGTTCAAGGAATTTCTTGCCTATCTAAAGTTGTCCAGTGTTCCTTTGTCCATTTGCTGTGAAATATCTCCAGTGATAATGTCTTCCATAATCTGTATTTTCTCTCCTCAGGATCAGAACTAGGTACTTCAAACAGCTGATGGAAAATGGAATTAAAAGGTAAATTCATTTTAGTGGTGTTTTCATAATCCGCACTTCCTGTGAGTGTTCTGGAGCCCCTGCAGTGTCGTCTTCGTTAGTTCTGTTGCTGCAGTCCAAGAACCGTCTATTGTTTCCTGGGCATTTATGCAGACCCAGCAGAAATCAGGACAGCCACAGACTCACCACTCTGCCCCTCCTCCCCCCACCAGATCCTCCATCCTTCACCTCCTGAAAACAGCAATTTTTGTGTCTCAACTTCTGGCTGTTCAAAGTAAGAGGACAAATTCTCTAAGAATTACTGCTTCCTGGGTAGAAGCTGAAACAGATAGGATCCTTTTGGTTGCCAAGTAACAGAAAAGCCTGATTCAACACTTACCTGCATCATCTCAAGTAACTGATTTATAATTGAATGTTAGTGAACTTGGCAGCTCAGCCACATCATCTGAGCCCAAAGGACCCTTCATCTTTATGCTCTGCCATGCTGAGCCTGTGGGTAAGCTCTGTTTCCTGACTGCTTTATCTGCCACCATCCCAGACACCAGGGACATAGCAGTGTTTCCCATCTTTTATCCCCAGTGAAACACTTCAGGAGCATTTCATGTACACCAATTATGACAAAATTAGTATTTTTGTGGCTGTAGCTTTTTGGAAGGTAAATTTACTCTTATGAAATCTTTGGCTCAAGTGGTGTTGTATGCGTGGAAATTCAGTTCAGCATCCAAATAAAAGCTATTTGTAAATAAATCTTGCAGTCTATTTAAAGGGTCAACACGTACCAAGAAACATCTGTTCCAGACTTCCCCCAGCCACCCCCATTTAATTTTCTGTTTCCTTCTTCACTGGAGGGAAGTCTTCTTCCTCTTCATCATTTCACTCTCCATTAACCCCCAGCTTTAACCTACAGGTGTTCTTTTTTCTCCCTTTCTCTCCTTCACTCCGTCCTTAGATCCTCTCACACGGAGAGTCTGTGATAGGAAGCAGGAGGTGGTAACCCTTGGCCTCAGAGAGACGTGGAGTGTCTCTGACCTTGCCCTCGTTCCCTGAGGAGTTGCAGTAATGTTAGAAAGAGGTGGACTCCACAGATTGCAGTCTGAGTAAATTGTATCACTGATTACCACTTGCACTAGTTATTTAACCACTTTTCAAAACAACTTTTTCTCTTATCAAGATAATATACTTACAGATTTTATCAAATAGTGTTTCTAGATTTGTAGTAAAGTTAGCAGATGTCCACAAATTCCTTCTCAATTCCTTCCTCTATCTTTACTTCTTAGCTACTTCCAGATTTTATTTTTTAAATATTTTTAAAAATTGATTGATTTGCAATGCAGAGCTACAGAGGGAGGGAGAGAGATTTACCATCTGCTGGTTCACTCCTCAAGTGGCCTGGACAGCCAGGTCTGGGCCAGCTGAAGCCAGCAGCCAGGAACTCCATTCTGGTCTCCCATGTGGGTGGCAGGGGCACTTGGGATTATTTTCCACTGCCTCCCCAGGCATATTTTCAAGGAGCTGGATCAGAAATGGAGCAGCCAAGACTCATACCAGCACCGGTACCACAAATAGCAGCCTATCCACTGAGTCACAACACTGGCCTCCTCTTCTGGATTCTAAAAATGTCAGCCTGTCTTTTCAGTTGTGGATGCCCAGTTCTGGGGATCTTCAACCTCACTTCCTAGACACACACTTGTAACAGGATGTCACCCTCCTTTTCCCAAAAACAGGTACAGCATCCTTTTGATGAAATTACCATTCAATAGTTTCCTTATAATTATGTAGTGATTATTCCCAACTGAAGCAATGCTGTAATGACTTTCCTTTCCTGTACATCGTTTTGTCTTTGCTGGATGCAGAACTTGCTTATTTATTTGCTTGCTGACTTTCCTATGTAGCTATTACTTGGCATCACCAAACTCTGATTTATTCATCCTTGATGCTACCAAATGCCTGCAGTGGCCCACGGGGCCAAACCCAGGAGCCAAGAACTCAATCCCAGTCTCCTTTGTGAGTAACAGGGACCCAATTACTTGAGCTGTCACCCTAGTGGTCTGCACTCTGGTCTGCACTAGTAGGCATATGGAGTCAGCATCAGGAGCAGGTACTGAACTAAGTCACTGTGATGTGGGAAACAGGCATAGTAAATGAGGTTTCAACAGCTAGACCTGCCCCTCCTCCTTTAAAATATTCCAACACATCAATTATTCCATGGGCTTCCATTTTATTTTTTTTTTTCTGGGAATGCTTCTGGAGGTCTCTACCCCCAATTTAGAAATTTCTTATTTTCATCATGGAACCTCTATTCCTCATGCTTTCCACTTGGATTCTCTTTTTCTGGACCCTAAACCTCCCTCTTTTTGACACTTGAATTTTAGAGAATATTTCTGGGATAAAGTATATGGTGTTTAGGTGGCTGGAGGTTTTAGGTGTACTTTTTTTAAGATTTATTTATTTGAAAGGCAGAGTTTCAGTGAGAGAGGAAGAAACAGAGAGGGATCTTCCATCTGTTGGCTCACTCCCCAAATAGCCATTAGCAACCAGGGCTGGGCCAGGCTGAAGTCAGGAGCCAGGAGCTCCACCTTGGTCTCCCACATGGGTGGCAGGGGCCTAAGCACTTGGGACATCTGCTGCTGCTTTCCCAGGAGCATTAGCAGGGAGCTGCGTAGGAAGAGGAGCAGCCAGGACACAAATCAATGGCCACATGGAATGCAGGCATTGCACTCCATGGCCTAACCCTCTACTCCACGATGCTCCCAGCCCGAAAGTGTACATTTCTGAAAATACATCTGTCCTACCCACAGACTTACCTGGTGTTTTGACCAACAGCCATGCTCTTTCTTTGATTCTCCAGTTTTGAAGGTCATGATCCAGTGAATTTCAGCTTCTTGGAGCTCTGTGGTAAACTCCATGCCATCCTATCTGACCCCTTAAACGGACGCTGCTTTGCTCCTGGTGTTCTGAATCTTGTGACGCTGCCTTGGCCTGCGTGGGTCTCTTCAGTGCTGCTGTGCTGCCACAGCTGTTCCCCTTTTCAGAGTGAGAACACCATGATCTGGGGAGTTTTCCTGAACTCTGTTTATTTTTTTAAAAGATACATTTGAAAGGTGGCAGCAGTTGGCGGGGGTAAAGTAAAAGAGATAGAGGGAGGTGTCTTCCATCGTCTGGTTTACTCCTCAAATGGCTGCAAACAGCTAAGGCTGGGCCAGAGCCAGGGACTCTGTCCACATCTTCCATGAGGACAGCGGGGGCCCAAGTACTTGGACCATCGTCTGCTGCCTCCCCAGACACAATAGCAGGGAACTAGATAGGAAGTGTAATAGCTGGGACTCAAACCAGCACTCTGATATGGGATGTGGGCATCCCAAACAGTGGCTTTACCTGCTGGGTCATGACGCTACCCCCTGCTTTTCGAATTTGGAAGAGCTCACTGTTACTCTGACTGTCCTGTATGTGTCTTTTTCTTTCATGGGTATATTATATTCAGGGACTACAGATAGTTTTTTAATAACATTTTTCCTCCTAGTATCTTTATTTTTTTTCCTTTTTGGCTGTTCTCCACAAATGTCTTTTGCTCTTGATTATCCGCATATATTCAGGAGCGAGGCAAATGTGCTGTTGGAAGTTCCGTGCAGCCTGTGAGGACTGCCAGCTGGTGCCTCGCGGGGCGGTGAAGGGGCTCTGGGCTGCCGGCCTCCACCGCTGTGCACACTCCAGTGTGGGTCGCCCCTCACAGCCCGGGTTTCCTACCTCCTCAATCCTGCCTCTCAGACCCTCTGGGCCTCAGGCTTAGTACACCCCGGTCCCAGTCCACTCAGGCTGCCACACAGCCAGGATGGTTTACCCACGAGAGGCACTGGCTCCCCGCAGCTCTCAGGTGGCGGCCTCATCAGGCCCGACTCCTCAGACTGCGCTTCCGGTAACACCACACAGCCCATTTCTGTCACCTGAGGATTTCGGAGGCGCGGTGGTCGTCGTCGCGCGGTTGAGATGCGAGTTTGAGTCCCAGCTCCGTCTCCTGCTCACGTGCAGCTTGGAGCAACATGGCTCCAGCGGTCGGGTCCTGGCCACCCACACGGGCGCCCGGCTGGCCTCCTCCTAGGCCTGGCCTGGCCCCACCTCAGCTGTGGGCCGGCTCTGGGCAGTGGCCAGTGGGTGAAGCCCTGCGTATTCCTCTCGAATTTTTAAAAAGTTAAAATATAAAAGAAGAATAGTGCATTGTGGCGGGACACGCACTGCCAACCTTACCACACGTCTTATCTCCTAGCATGCACTGTGTGTCCGCAGCCACGCTCCCCAGAACCAGAGGCCACGCGGCGGGCTGGGGAGGGCGCGGAGCCCGCGGTCGGGGCGGGCTGCCTGGGCTCAGGTCATCCGTCCTCACTCCTCTTCTCGCGGGTGCGTTCGGCTGCGGGCTGGCTCAGGTAACCGACGCCGGCGTCCGGGAGGCGCGCAGGGATCCCGTCCCCGGACCCCGGCGGGTGCTCCGTGCGGGCTCCTGCGGCCTCCGCACACGGGCACGCGGGCGTCAGGCCGCCACCCCACCTGCAGCACGGCTTGTGCGGGGCAGGGCCTGCAGGGCTCCTGCCTCGCCAGCGCCCGGGCATCCGCCCGTCCGCCGGTTGCGGGGCAACGGCCCTCGGCGTCGCGCCCTTGGCGCCTGCGCGCCTCGCCCCGCTCCGCCAGGGCCGCTGGGGCGGGGCCGCCGAGGCTCCGCCCCCGACCCCGCGGTGGGGCGGGTCCTGGGGCGGAAGCGGAAGTGAGCGGGCCCGCGCGGCGGGCAGAGGGCGGACCGGGGGCGTCTGCGGCTGGTGTTGGTGCGTCTCTAGGTAGGGCCGAGCCGAGCGCCCCCGCCTCAGCCGCGGTGGCCGCCGTGGTCCCGCCGCCCCGTCTTCGGGGCAGTGTGCGCGCGCCTTTCCCCTCGGGCTCCCGGGCCGCCCCTCCTGCGCTCAGGGCTGTCAGGTCCGGGCATGGGCCGCGAGGGACAGGGCTGTCAGGTCCGGGCATGGGCCGCGAGGGACAGGGCTCCTGGGCACCCTCGCAAGGGCGGGCCGCCGCGCCCGGCGCTCGTAGGGGTCGGGCCCGGCGCGGCCCGCGGTGCCGGGGACGGGTGGCCGGCGGCTGGCGTGCGTGCAGGGGGCTCCGGGGAGGCGGGGCACCTCGGGAGCGGCTGCGCCGGCCGGGACCCGGCTTGGCCGCCCTGCATGGCGTCTGCTGTGTGTGGCCGCGCTCTGCCGTTGGCACAGTCCCCACCGCTCTCCGGACGCCGATCCTCGCCCCCCGTGGTTGGGGTCCCTTATGTCCGCGAGCTGCGCCCCAGCCGTGTCAGGTCCCCGGCCTCTGACCTGTTGATACCAGCCCTGGACCACCTTACCTTGCAGTCACTTGGCTTGTTTCATTCGTTTATTTATTTCATTTTTATTTGGAAGGCAGTGAGAAGACGGCTCTTCCATCCGGTGGTTCACTTCCCAAATGCGGCCACAAAGGGGACTGGGCCAGGCCACAGGAGCTCCATCCTGGTCTCCCACGTGGGTGGCAGGAACTGGGCCACTTGGGCCGGCTGTCTCTGCATCAGCAGGAAGCCGGGTTAGAGGCACGGCAGCCGGGGTTTGAACTCAGGCACTCTGATGTGGAAGGCCTGTGTCCCAAGCAGCGACTTCACAGTTGTTGCCCCATTGTTTAAATTGCGGGCACGTGATCTTGCAAGCATACTGCAACTTCTGGTCACCTCCGGCCAGCTGAGAAGACTGCTGTAGGCAGCATCTGAGGTTCTGACCATCCGTGGACCTGAATCTGAGTATCGGTTAATGGGGCAGATTTACCGTAGAACTGAAGAAGTTAGGGCTTCTGGTCCCTCACGTATGGGGCTCCGTCTGTCATGCCAGGGCCTTAACAGTCGGGTTTGTAATTTGCATGCTTTTTTTCTTCAAAACAAAATATTTATTTGAAAGACAAAGTGACAGAGAAAGAGGTCTTTCGTCCTCTGGTTCACTCCCCACATGGCTGCAGCCGCTGGGGCTGGGCCGATCTGAGCCAGGAGCTGGAGCTGCGTCCTGGTGTCCCATGTGGGTGGCAGGAGCGCAGGTATTTGGGTCGTCTTGCAGTGCTCGCCCAGGTACATTAATAGGGAGCTGAGCTGAAAGTGGAGCAGCTGAGACTCACACCGGCACCCTGCAGTGGTGTGGGCATCCCAAGCAGCAGCTTACGCTGCTGCACCACAAGGCTGGCCCTGTGGAGTCTTCTTCAAGAGGGACTCCAGGCTTGGGCCTGTAAAATGCCGTTTGTCCTGCTGCTGTGAGATCTGCCTTCTCCCTCTGTCCTTGCCCTCCTGACCGCTGCCTCTTGTAGTGATGATTGAGGCTTGCAGAGAAAATGTGAACAAGGAACTGATGCATTTTTTAAAGATTTATTTATTTACTTGGAAGTCTGAGTTACACAGAGAGAGAAGGAGAGGCAGAGAGAGAGAGAGGTCTTCCATCCGATGGTTCACTCCCCAGTTGGCCGCAACAGCTGGAGCTGCGCCTATTAGGAGCCAGGAGCTTCTTCCAGGTCTCCTCAGCAGGTGTAGGGACGCAAGCACTTGGGCCGTCTTCTACTGCCTTCCCAGGCCATAGCAGAGAGCTGGATCGGAAGTGGAGCAGCCAGGACTCGAACCAGCGCCCACATGGGATGCTGGCCCTGCAGGTGGTGGCTTCAACTAGTACAACAGGGTCAGACCGGCGCTGATCCATTTGTTTTGCTGTTCTGTCAGTAGAGAGATGTGAAAGCTTGGTGACGGAGCGTGCTGGGCCCAGGCTCTGTGACTTGTGTCCCAGGTTGTCACTGTGGAGTTGCCACCTCTTTCAGAAGAGGTTGATGAGGACACGTCACCTCGTTGAGATTTGGAGCAGCTTGGTGCTGTGGAAATGGGTCAGACACTGGACATCCATTCACAGGCCTTGACTTGGTTAGGAATGAGGCACCCTAATGCCATGGGTTGTTTTTTTCTTTATAATTTTTTTAAAATATTTATTTGAAAGTTACAGAGAGGAAGAGGCAGAGGCAGACAAAGCCACATGGGGGGAGGGTTGTGGTTTCCATCCGCTGGTTCACTCCCCAAATGGGATGGGCCATGCTGAAGCCAGGAGCCTCATCCGGGTCTCCCATGTGTTTGCAGAGGCCGAAGGACTTGGGTCATCTTCCACTGCTTTCCCAGGCACATTAGCAGGGAGCTGAATCAGAAGTGGAGCAGCCAGGACCGAACCAGTGCCCATGTGGGACAGATAAGGACATCAGTGATGTAGAGAGGTGCAGTGATTTGTCTTCAGTCACACCACAAGTGAGGGCCTGCAGTGGCCCAGTCAGAAACAGATGAATGAAGGCCACCTCCTGGGCACTGATTTCCCCACTGCGGGTGGAACCAGCACTTACTGGGAGCATTCGTGTAGAATGGGCCAAGTTGCATCCTGCAGTTTGGCTGTGTCCATAGCTGTCTGCAGGCATCATGTAGGTGACGTACATCAGAAAGGTCATGGGAAACTGAATTACAAGCTAAGTTTATTTTGGTGCAAAAATTTTGAAATGCATGCATATATGAAGTTTTCAAAAAGTTTACAGAAAATGTGTATTAAAAAATCGCAGGGCTGGCATTGTGGCATAGTGGGTAATGCCATTGTGTGCAGTGCAGACATCCTATATGGGTGCCAGTTTGTGTCCTGGCTGTTCCACTTCCAATCCAGCTCCCTGCTAGTGGCCTCAGGAAAAGCAGCAGAGGATGGCCCAAGTGTTTGGGTCCCTGCACCCATGTAGGAGACGCGGATGAAGCTCCAGCCTTTAGCTTGGCCCTGTCTTGACTGTTCAGGCCATCTGGGGAGTGAACCAGTGGATGGAAGATGGATTTCCCCACCCCAGTCTCTGTAACTCTGACTTTCAGATAAATAAATCTTTAAAAATGCATGAGTTTCAAAAAACTTTTTGCACCAAAATAAAGTACTAATTAAGCTTTCCATGGACTTTTTGAAGTACTGTTGTATATCCTATGGTTTAAAAGTGGGCAGTATTAACAGTGTTTTATTAGGTCTTTAGTGCAGAGAATATGGACATTACTATAAATACATTTATAATAAAACCATGGCAAACTAGGACAAGAGGAAAGTAACTTTCTGAGTAGCAGGGTTTTCTGGATAGTTTAGGTTTTTTTCTCTTAAGCCCCGAAGTATCCCATTTAGAATGGGAGTCTTTCTGAAACGTTTCTCTGCGTTCTGAATGTGGATAACATTTCCTTAATGGTCTCCTTGGACATAATTGGTTCTGTTGTGATGCAAGCACTAGTGAGTGTTCCGAGGCCTCTCTTGTTCTCTCCAGCTGTTTGGCTGCTGGCCTTCAGAGTGTTAGCTTTTCCATCCCTTTGTCTCCCTGTGTCAGCTGCCATTACACCTGCCTACAGTGGCCTGGTCCGTGCTTTCCCTTCTGTGGGTTTAGGAGCCAGTTGTTGGAACTGGTGAGAATAATAGTCCATGGATGATAAAAGCCTGGGCAAGTTCCAGGTTGTTTCAGCTTTAATTGGTGAACTCTGGCTTGTACTGACTGTTCTTATCCTGACTTCTGGGTCAGTGAGGCATTGCTGAATCGGTGTATGTGTGTATTTGCTCTCTGTTCATGACGTTGGTTTTCACAGTGTGTTTCTTCAGCCTCTGTGGGGTGTCCTAGGATTGCCATGGGCAGGACAAGGCCAGAGGCCCTCCTCAGTCCCATTTGTCCCAAAAGAGGGGCAGTAAGTGTGCATAACCTGTGGGAAGGAAATATCTAAGGGGATGCATCCTACAGGTGAGCCTTTGGCCCTCTTGGCAAGCATGAGAATCAGCAGCAACCAGGCCACCATAGCTGTCACTGTGTTGGGTGAAGGGTGAAGTCTAGGGTCTCAGGCAGGTGCCTGGGCCTCACATGTTACCTGTGCCATTGGTGGCCTCCTTTGCTTTGTGGGTGGAGTCTTTGACCAAAGAGGATGAAGAAAACGGATAATGTGTCTAGTCCAGTCGAACTAGAGGGGACGTCTGCTCTGTGTGGATTTGTATGTATGTACATGTATATGCACATACAATATATATAAATATATTTTAAAGGCAGAAACTAACAGATTTCTCTATTCTCTAGTTCATTTCCCCAAATGCCTATAATAGCTGGGCCTGGGCCAGGCAGAAGACAGAACCCAGAGCTCATTCCAGGTCTCCCACATGGGTGGCAGGGACCCAACCACTTGAAGCATCATCTGCTGCCTTCCAGGGTGTGCGTTAGCTGGCAGCTGGAATTGGGAGCTGAGCTGGGACTCAAATCCAGGCGCTTTGATGTGGAATGTGGGTATCCCAAGGGGCGTCTTAACCACTGCACCAAATGTCTGCCCCAGCTGTACTTACTTAAAACCCTGTAGTTGGAACCATTTTGACATATGTGTGCCCACCCCTACCCCCACTGTCCTCTGAATGTCAAAGGGCCTTGGCTTCCTTGGGAGATCTGTCCCCACGGTCACGGACCATCTCGTTCACTGCTGTTACCTCACTCTTAGCACCACAGGACCTATAAGTACTAGGTGAGTATTTTCCAAGTGGATGTCGGAATTTGGCTGGGCTGAGGTCTCAAGCCCGTGGTATTTCTTTGGGGGCGCAGAAGGAGTCTCTTGCAGCAGGAAGTGGGGCTCTCTATCCTCTGGTCTTGGCCTCTTCCAGAATAGGCAGCCACAGTAGCCAGTGTCCTTGATGGCCCCTGTGCATCTCTGGTTTGTCT